TCCTCATCAGTAAAGGCAGAAGAACTGACTAAACGAGTGGCCAAGGCCAAAAAAGAGGCAAACGGTGTGCAAGATAGGCCCTTCCTTCCCAGTTCTCACAGTCTACCCACCTGGAAACCAACACCTGCCTCTTCCTTGCAGTTTGCAGCCCATGCTTCAAGGGCACTTCAGGTCTGCACAGCTGCCTCAGGAGACGTCACTACATGCCAGTCACAGTAAGTGTGCCATAAGTTTTCCTAAGGTCTGCAGTCTGAGATTATGTCTCTTTCTCACTTTTTGGTATCAAGATGCCCTTTCTTATAGGAAATGGTGATAGTATGTGGCAAGTTCTTTTCATATCCTGGCCCAAGGGGGACAAAAGAGAGCAAGCAATACTTTGTCAATCTCCACAATGATTAACAGTTTGGAAATTCATACTGTTTTACAAATCCAAATGCTCCATGTATTGTGCACACACCCAAATTTGTTTTCAGCAGCAGAAAAACCTGTAAGGTCAGAGTCAGCAGGAGGTGTACTTAAGAATCTGTAGATGTGAGTAGTCCCAAAAGACTTGTGTGAAATTATCAACCCAAGATTACCTTGGCCAAGTCTCATCTGCTCTGATGTTTGAATCTCTGGAAATTTCATTAAAAAGTCAGCAAAATTTTGCAAGGATGGCAGCTTCTCAAAAGAACCCATCCCGTTCTTTGGCATCCCTTACCAGAACATTCATCCCTCATTTGCAGTTTAAAATATTTCTCAAAAAAGAAAGAGGCACTCTCCCAAAATCATCTTGGGCTTTTCGCCAGGCAAAAAGGAGCAAGTATATTTTCTTGATCAAGGAGAGTGATTCACACATGAGGGTGGAGTTCAGTTGAGGCGGTAGCATGGATATATATTTGAAAAATCTGAGGTGAGATAACTTTTTATCAGAATTTTTGGCAAAAATTATCTTCTAGGCGATGCCCTAAAGATTATCCTGTGAGTCCTGGTGAGTCTTCTGACAAGGGGGCTCAAGCTAGAAGATTTAGGCATGAATAGTTCCCTTTGAATCTTCGGTCTTTTACTTTGAGAAAGGTCCCAGGTTTCTATGATGTGCTGGGGACCGCACCTGAAGGCCGGTCCCCTTCTCTCTGGGAGGAGTCTGGTGTGCTCCCATCCTTGCCAGGAGCTCTCTTCTCTGTCACGGGAATGCCTGGGCACCTCCTCCTGCAAGTGCTGCCGTACCAGAGACGCCGCCCCTGACCACCTGAGTAAGGCGACGCTGCCCTACCGTCACTCCACTTTACCACGGCCAGAGAACCAGTCGCCCCCCACCCCGCTTCTGTAGTGACTCTGCCTCCCTCACCGAGCACCGAGGCGCCGTACCCTCACCACCGAGAAGAGGAACAAGCACGTGCTGACGAGAAAACACGGTCACACGTTATGCGTCTTCCTTCAACAACTCAAGTGTCAAACGTGAGAACAATAAGGCTGCTTTCAAACTCTCTTAATGGGATAATATGCTGTATATGTGAGTAACAGCCATCAAGGTTAAAAATACACTGTCTCCTTCAGCAAGTCCACTTGGAGGACTTTCTCCTACAGATGCACTTGCACACAGAGACCCAGGCACAGTGATGGTCACTATGGCACGGTTTCTCAGAATGGACACATGGAACAATCCAGAGAACTGGGTACACTGGTTCTGTCTACAGTATCAGTAACTGGGGTCACACCATGAGATACTAAAGCAGCTCACACGCCAAGATGAACAAGAGCTGCCAAGGTAGTAAGAGCAACAGCTGACGTGTGCCAGACACTGCTGCACGCATTCCACATGGATTCTCTCTTAAGCTTCCCAGCCACCCTGCGACATACCTCCAGTTTACAGATGAGGAAACTGAGACGCTAGAGAAATAAACTTTCCAAAGTCACACAGCCACAGGAACTATCAGAACTGGAATACAAAGCTGGCACCAGTAACCAATGAAGCCACACTGCCAAATCTTTGGGGAATAAGATTCATATAATTATATATATATGTATATATGTATAGGTGTATGTGTATGTGTGTGTATATATTTGTGTGTATGTATGTATATATTTAAAGCTAGGAGGATGGGGAAGGCTTTAAATATCTGTATGCTTTCATGTGCTTAGACTTTCTCAAAGGGTGCATGAAAACTCTGCTCTGGGGAGAAGTGGGAGGACTGTGGTGTGAGTGAGATTTTATTACCACATACTCTTTCATACCATCCAAACTCACACACACTACCCATACAAATATTCATTAAAGTCACTAAACTGCAGGGCTGTAATGGAACCCATTGTTTCACAGAGGTGGGGGTAAACTGAGGCACAGAGTCGCCTGAGGCCACCCAATTAGAAGGAGAAACCCCAAGGCACTTGCAAGGACCCCGGATGCCCAGCACCCAGTGGGTTGTGTCGCCTTCTCTAACAGTTTCCACTATAGCTGACTCAGCTGTCACAACTGGAGACTTTCAAAACCTTCCAATTACATAGAATTGGGGGAAAAATTATGATTTGGAATTCAAGTGTTGACACTTGAAAAATACCAACTCCCTTTCACTACAAGTGCTTTAGCATGTTACTAAGGCTTTTTCTCCATGTCTCTGGAAAGGTTATTTTCAGAACATTCCACTTAAACCTAGAGATGCAGGGTTCTCTGCTGTTTCTGGGAGCTGACACCACAATTTACATTAAACAAATGTTTTGAAAATTAGCTGTTCACGGTTCCAATTTCAGCTTCCCCCAGGGTTTAATGTTAGCCAAATACTGGTACAGTAAGCAGACAATGTGTTTTATTGTGTGGAAGAAAAACAGACCACCAGAACAGACTTCCTGCTTTTGTAATCAAGGGAGGAGTTGAGTGTTCAAGTGAGTATTGGCATTCGGTTATTAGAAACACCGAGTTCCAAATATAGCTACTAGAAGCTAAAGACATACACACACACATGCCCTCTGTATTTCGAGTCCAGAAAGAAAGAAAAAGCATTCCTAATGTTTGGTAAGTTGTGAAGTTCATAAAGTCATGGGGCAAAAACGATGGCAGAAGACTGGGGGTGATAGGGAGTGAGGTTCAACCCAGGATTGCCAGACACACTAGAGTTGAAGAGGTGCTCAAACATCAAGAAGCAGTGGCCGGCGTGAGCAAGGCCACACTCTGGCCACGGTGCAGGAAGGCTATGTGGAGGGATGCAGTTCTGCCCCTACTGGCCCCTGCTCTGTGGGCAGCCAGCTTCCTCAGGCCCACAATCAAGAGATGATGGACTTGGCATCTCCGTTTTCTTTTTTAACATTTAAAGAGGGATGCACGGGCACTTTCCTCGCTTGCCCTGTCCTGCCTCTCCCCACAAATGCAAATGTTGTAAGGGAAAAAAGACACAGTTCAATCTGCTAATTTTATGGTTAGCAGGAATGAGTAACAGCATTCTGTGAAATCCCCTGCCTGCCCCGAGCCTCCTCCAGGACTTGTGAGCTAGGTGGAGTGCAGTGTCTGGAAATAACTTACAGGACACTCTCCAGTATTAGGTTTCTCTCTCAAAGAGGTGGGAATGATTCTGAGCCTGGTGGGTGGGGTGGGGTGGGGTGGGAGGCTCTGTGGGCAAGAAGAATTTCGATTTTGTAGTTTTCAGGCAAGTGTTTGAAGACTGAAGGCAGAAGGGGATGGCAGAGGATGAGATGGCATCACCGACTCAATGGACATGAGTTTGAGCAAGCTCCAGGAGTTGGTGATGGACAGGGAAGCCTGGCATTCTGCAGTCCATAGGGTTGCAAAGAGTCAGACATGACTGAGTAACTGAACTGAGGGAATGAGGGAAGTGATTGTCTACATGCAGAAGGGTGAACAAAAAATATAGCCTCTTAATACCTTAACTAAAGAGTCCATGAACAGTGTGGGTGGGAGGTTAGAGGTCTCAGAAGGTGCCCCTCCATTTGGTGAAGGCCTGCCTGATCTTTGGACAGGCTTGGAGGAGGGCACATTCTGGGAGGGTGGGCTGGTGTGTGGCTCTGGGTCAGGGCTCCTGGACCTGTCCAGGGAAGGTGTCTCACCATCTCACTCCGGTGAGGGCTCTGGTAAAAATGTCCTGACACTGACACTGCATTAGACCCCTCACAACATTTCCAAGGGGACATGACTTACAAAATAGGAAAGCCACCTTCTGCCACAAAGAATCTCCTCTTAGTCTGGCTGGGGGCCGGAAGGATGACTCCTGAGAGGGCAGGGCAGCCTTCAGATTCCATTTTACTAAACACAGAGCAGCACTGGTCCTAGCTTGCTGGTCCTGGAGTCTGTGACAACAGCTGAGAGGCAGGGCCCAGCAAGGAGGAACAGAGAACATGTGTCCCAGTTACCCTGGCGTCTCAGACAGGTGAGTACAACCACTTATATGCATGGACCTCCCAAGGGAGGACGAGCCAGATCCTGGCTTGGGATCAGTTGGCCCACCCTACTCCATTAGGTCACACTCACGAGAAGGTTTCACTCCCCACAAGATCAGCACCGATGGCCTAGTCTCAGTTCAAACCGGGTCTGGCAGGAGGCGCCCAGACAACACATCCATTTTCCTCCTTAACAAGGCAATCATTTCAAAGAGCTAACTGTCTGAACCATTCCTGCTACAACATGCGTGGAAGAGGACACGAAGCCATGGCAACACGACGAGAATTCTGAGCATATCAATGGTAAGCCTGGGCAGGACTTGACAGCTGCTCGCACAGGGAAGCTCCTGCACTCATAGAGGCGTGAGTATCTCCTCGAAGGGCAGGCACCGCCCCTACCAGCCTGGGGCTATCTGCCCCAGCACCTCCCCACATCACCTCTGCCTAGGGAAATCTAGTTTCCCACCTGCATCCAGACTCTGTCCACTTGAGCTGGACTAGCTGTTGTCAGCTCCATTTGCTTCCATAGGCCCCCACCCCAAGAGGGGAATGAGCCCTCACCAGGAGGGGGCACCCTTGTGACCCCACCCACCTGGACCCACACCTCACACATTCCTGCCAAATCACAAACTCACCTTGGATTTCCGGGCCCCTTTCTTGCCCCCTGTTTTCTTAGACACGGGCTTCTTCTGGGATGGAGACTTGGCCTTTTTGGCTGGGGGTGGCGTGATGATGGCTTCCAACTTCCCTTTGGATCCTCGTTTCTTCGCTAGCAACTCTGGATGGATGTTTGGTAACACACCCCCGCTGGCTATGGTGACTCCTTTTAGCAGCTTGCAGGAAAACCAAATGAGCAGATGGTGAGCCAGACCACCCCTTCCATGACCTTCAAGAAGTCAATCCTCCCCACCCATGCTCCTGCTCTTGGTTGGCAGAACTCTCTCCTCTATGGCATCTACAAGGATGCTAACAGGACCCTGGCTCACTACACAGGGAGCAGGCCTTCAGACTCCTTCACTTGGGTGGAGTTTCCAAACCATCTTTCTTCCAGGAGAGTCAAATATCTTTCTTCATTCTCCCCACCCCCAACCAATAAAGTCTTGGGGACAAATTGCCATGGGTGGTGGGGGGAGAGCAGGGCAGTGGCTAATAAGTCACAAGCAGTCCACACCCTCGACAGCCAGCCAAACACCACCCTCCCTCCGGATATACAGCTCTTCAGCCCGCAAGACTGCCTGCTGGGGTGTCTGGGTGGGGGAGGCAGAGGGGAGCCCCATACCTGATTCAGCTCTTCATCGTTGGCCACAGCCAGCAGGATGTGCCGGGGCGTGACCCTGCCCTTCTTGTTGTCTCTTGCCGCGTTGCCAGCCAGCTCCAGAATCTCCGCTTTGGGGAGAGGAGAGGAAGGGCATGTGGTCACATTATAGCATCAGAGAGCTGTGTGCACCCTCCCGAATCCCCTGTTCTTGGTGTTGGGAAGGGGAGCAGGCAGCAGTGTCCCGACCCTACCCTGAGCCACGAAGCTGCAGGCGGTCTGCCTGGAAACACTTGGTGGCAAGTCACAAAGGTGTTGAGAAGCAAAGCTGAGGGGGATAAGGGAGACCCCTGGTCCAACCCCTTTGCTGTGGGTATGCAAAACTGAGGTTTAGAGAGGAGAAAGGACTACCAGCTAAAGGCCCTCAGTGAGGAGTAAGTGGTAAAGCTCAGATTTGAACTCTCTTCCCAGAACAAGGCTGCTCACAGTCAGCATGCCAGATACCATCAGCATCAACCCCACGGGGCCAGCAGTGGGGCCCCTGAGCTAGGAGTTATGCAGGGCTTTCTGGGACGTCAGGGGGAGGGCGGCATGTTACTCAGTACATTTCTGTTAACAGAATCAATGCAACAGAATCAATGTTGAACGCCTGCACACTCAGATTCAAAACTAGAAGGATATGACTGCACCCTTTACAAAGTCAACATCATAAAAACATAAAAGAAAAGAGGTGGGATGTAGTAGATTAAAAGAGGCTACACAGACACAACAGCCAGATACAAAGTGTCAATACTCAATGGGATCCTGATTGCAAAAAAAGTTACAAAGTCATTCTGGAGCCAACTGAGGAGATCTGAATGTAGGCTGGATAGTAGACACAAAGGAATTACTGATTTTCTTGGGTGTGGTAACAGTATTACCACTCTGAAGGGAGCATCTTGTCCTTAGGAGATACATGCTGAAGTATTTAGGGGTGAAGGGCCCTGGTGTCTGCAATTTACTCAAATAATTCTGAAAAAAAGTCTACAGAGGAAAACAAATGTGGTGAAATGTTAACAGTTGTTAAATCCAACTGTGATATGAGAGAGTAAGACGTCAGAGTTCCTCTCTCAACATTCTGTATATTTGACATTTTCCACAAAATAATTAAGAACCAGAAGGAGATGAGCCTGACCTATAGTTGGCACTAGGTTAGAGATTGCTGACCAATCTTTTGGGACAAGGTCTAAGCAGACAAGATGACAGGTCTCCAAAAGCACCAAAGATGGGAGAAATGAGGAAATGCCCTTCAGTAAGAGATTTTTTTCCCTCCTTGGTGGCCTAGTTCTCTTTGTTAACTGTCAACCTCATTACTTTTGTCTCATTTTCTTAATGAGAAATGCAGACTGTCGCCAAATGTATCTTACATCCCCACTTCTGCAATTCTGTCCACACCACAGCCCTGCCTGCAACATCCATCTAGCCCACCCTTCTGGGCTCAACTGAAGTCTGGCCTCTTCCTAGTACTAAAGGATTTATAATATTCAAAGTTATGTTGTAAACACTAGACTTATCCAGCAAAGTTAAAACTTGGCATCATTATAAAATAACTGCAGGGAAAAAATTTAGCTACATTAAAATCACATATTTAAAATTTACAATATTACATGGTTTACCCTGGAGAAGGAAATGGCAACCTACTCTGGTATTCTTGCCTGGAGAATCCCATGGACAGAGGAGCCTAATGGGCTACGTCCATGGGGTCACAAGAGTCGAACACAACTTAGTGACTAAACCTATGTGGTTTACAATGTTAACCACTGTTACAGCTGAGCCCAATGCAAAAATGAGTCTGTGTGTCAAACTGAACAGCTGCTTGGCTACCCATAGCTGGATCAGGAGGGTTCCCCCTCAATCCAAGGCAGGAATTCAATAATCGCTGCACTGATGGTAAGTGGACACCAGAGGCACCCAAGGCTCTGCCTGCTCGATGCTCCCAGGTCACAGGGATCCTTATGTGCATGTTCTTGAAAGGCACACATGCAAGTCACTAGAGTGAGGCCCAGGGAGGAAGGGGATATAATCAATACATCTCCCACCCTCATCCATTAGCTTCAACAGGACTGTTCCCCAAACAGTCTGAGTACCAGGATCCCCTGTCAATTTTACTGAAGCTTCTCTGTAACTGATTGTTGGCTGTGTGTGCTGAAGCCCAGAGGAGATGACCCTATCATGGCCAAGCAAGAAAGAGTGCCTGGGATGCCTAAGTGACCCGATGTCCAGCTGCAGAAATGAGCCCAGCTTGGCCTCCACTCTGCCCCGTTCATGGAAGAGGCAGTACGCCTGCAACACTACTGTCCAACTCACCGCCTGGAGGAAGCCAAGCAGGAGCCCAGACCCTGGGAGTCAGGGCGCAGGAAGGAGAGCCAGCCACAGCCAGCCCATGTGGCAGGGAGGCTGCAGAGGGGCTGCTGGCACCACTAGGCTGTAGCCCACCTGGCTGGCTTCCTGATCTCTACCACCCCTCACCTCCCCAGCCTTTCTCCACTTTCGAGGCCACAGGAAACACGGGGCCATCACTATCTACAGCAGGAATGTACAGGAGGAGGCTAGGGGATTACAGCTTTGTCCCCATAATGTGCTAAGGCCCCATTAAAAGAGAGACAGAGAGAGAAAAAAAACAGAAACCCACAGTAGTGCCCTAAGCCCATCCCTGTGGTAAGAAGATCGTTTGAAATTACGGTTTCTCGGGAAAGTGGAGGTGGCCTGTTTCCTCTTCCTGCCCAGAGTACTGGTGCAGGCTCTCCCCAAGAGAAGGCACAGTGGCCGTTGGTGGGGGTAGGGGGAAGAGGGATGTGGTCATTTTATTTTTGGCATCACTACTTAAGCTTTTTTCCTGTGGGGAAGGCGGTAACGATGAAGTGCAAAGACCTGGAGGGTGGGGAAGGGTCACCAGAACTCCCAATGTGTTCCAGTATCTGGGTGAGGGGCAGACAGTACGGAACACAAGCAAGAGAAGCAGTGCACTTACCACTAAGTAGCACCCACAGTTCAGAAATAAGATCAATTCTCCAGGAAATCCCCTGAACTTCCACTAATTTCACACCCCTACACTCTCACATTATGGTGGAAATCTCCAATGGCCCAAGTCTCTCCACTTGCAAAATTTCAAGGATTGTGCTCACTGACTGCTAATTCAAGGCTTCCCTGGTAGCTCGGTGGTAAAGAATCCACCTGCAATGCCGGAGACATGGGTTCAATCCCTGGGTTGGGACGATCCCCTGGAGAAGGAAACGGCAACCCACTCCAGTATTCTTGCCTGGGAAAACCATGAACAGAGGAGCGTGGCGGGTTACAGTCCACAGTGTTGCAAAGAGTTGGACACGACTGAGCAACTAAACAGTGACAACAACTGCTAATTGAGCCTGGGCTCAGGGATGCCAGACAGGATCCATCTGGGAGTGACAAGATGGACATGGAGGGGCTGGGGGGAGGGTGTGTGGAGTGGGACGAGGAGCATTGAGCACCTTGGAAACAGCTGGGCTGGAGTGTCCTTCCTGTGCATTCCTCTGCCTTTTCACCAAGGAGCCAGAAAACTTTCTTTTTAGAAAACTCTAGCTCACTTTTGATCTGTGAAGACCAAGACAGTTGACCCTCCCACTCCCTATCTTCAAAGAGTGGACCCTCAGCCCTGTCGGAAGGGAGGGAGCAACATCAAATGGGGTAACGAAGAAGGGCAGAGGTTCACATTTTGACTGGCTGAGCCAGAGCTTTATCTTCTGTTTACTCCTGCATGTTTTCCAGATGGATAGTTACCATAGCAACTCCTTCCTCAAGGGACACACAAGATGGAGCACCTCAGAGACACACCTCTTATGAGAAGTGTGTTCCCTGCTCCACCCTACCCCTGCACTGCGGCAGGCAGAGGGCTGGGGCAGTTGACAAGAGACCAGAAAGAAGCAGGAACCCAGAGCACAAACTCGCGCCTTGCCAAGGATTCAGTAATATATTCCCCTCTTTCATCCTCAATCCAGTTTTAGAAACGGCAATCGTAAAGGGCTTTCCTGGCTAAGAGAGGGCTGCCTGCTGCAGGGGGGGAGGAGAGGTGCAAAATGCCAGCAACTCAACAAGATGGATCAGCTCCCATCTGCTCTCCAGGGCATGTTTGCAGGAGGGCGGGAGAGAGGGCCCTGAGTGCTCAGGAATTGGGGCAGGGCACACGCCACTAAAGGAGATTTCCTGATTAAGTTTCCTTCCTAGTTAAGTGATCCTCGGCTTTGCGAATGATAGCAAGGACACATCTGTGAAAGCCCTAGACTCAGGGCTATGTCTGGGTTCCAGCCACTGTACCCACTGCCCACGGGGACGGGCCCCTCCTGGGCCAGGCTGGAGTCAGCTTCAGCTCCACCTGGACTTGAATTGAACTTGTGCCTTCCTACCAGGGAGGGTTTCCTGCACTTGATTAATCTTGTATTTCGGATGGTTTTGTGTGTCTCTAAAATTTTTTTTGCCTCTGGCTATTTTGATAGAAAGGGATTCTGAGAAAGAGAACTAGACAAGCACCACATTTATAGATGAAAATTCTTTTCTCCACAGTTTGCAGTGCTCCATGCTTGGATCCTGCCTCGGAGGGAGTTTCAGGAGCCATAGCGCAGAGACTGTAACCGAAACAAATGGAATCTGTAAGAAATCAGCAAAGAATGGTTAGCAGGAAAAGAAACAGACCCCTGACCAGGGTCTGCACCCCCTCAAGCCAAGACTTCCTGACCAATGACAGTCCAACTTTGTCACCAGTGACCAACACTGGGACAGGTTTGGGGCTCAGAGCCCAGGGCGTCACCTCTGAGAAGACTCTCAGTGTGGCGAAGTTCCCTAATGACAGACACCGCAAAGGAGTCAGGTCTAATGATGAGTTACACTAGCCAACTCGTGTGCCAGTTTTCTGTCCTAAGATCTTTTTTAAGATCTAATTGGTAAAACACCTGAGCATCTCTGGCTCCAACTCCTGGCCAGTCCCTGGCCAGTGGTGAGCCACTGGCTCCATCACATGCAGCAGCCTGGCCCAGTGATGTGACCTTATTCTCTCCTCCGAGCAGCAGGCAGGCAGAGGCACCCCTGGGCCCACCATTCCCTGGCCATGAGGAATGTGATC